TTGATTGTATAGAATTTCCAACGAGTAAAACATAGTGACTTTCATAACTGCCTTGAGAAAAACAATTTTACGAAATGCAATCGATAATTGCACACAATGTGCGATTATATATATATATATTTTTTTCTCGTTTATTTTGAAAAGAAAAAAATAACAATTACGGAAAATTAAGAGTGGGGAATTCCCATATTTCGAACGAATTTCCCATCGAAAACAAACCGAACCCATCCATACCAATTGCAGAGATTAATCAAGGTTAAGTGCCAGCAGCAATTAAGCATTTCACACCATCCGTTATCACAGCGACAAGAAACCGAATAAAGTAAACGAAATGAAAGTGAGTCCGTTGCAAAGAGAGTGAAGAATGGAAGAAGGAAAAAAAAACAACAACAACAAAGAGGAAGCACGAACGCGTACGAACCACACATAGAACGGAGAAGGATGCAAGGAATAATCTAGAAAGTGAAACTCACTTTCGATCTTACAACAGCGCGCAACAACTAATTCGTTTAGGAATACGTTATAGTAATTAGAGCTCAGGCAAATAATTATTATTCAATTGCATGTTTTAGTCTAGTTTTCGAGATTTTACGGTGAATTATAAACGATATTGGGACGAATTGCCGTAGCAATAAAAGTTTCCAAAAATTTTTTTCTTCTCCAAAACTCAATGCTTACCCCGAATCACAATTTAACAACATGTTGATTAGAACTTTCTAAATTAGGTTTAGGCTTTGTCAAACGGTCTAGTTGAAAACATGTGCAGCATCACAAGAAAAAAAAGACATGAGAGAAGAAGCTGAATGTTTCAAATCAAATTTGTGCTTGCTATCAAGTTCGGTTCATCAGTAGAACCTTCATTATTTAATTTATAAAACTTTTTACCTGTTGGTAGCTGAAGGGTCCACTTTCGGGTTTCGTCGACTTGGCGGCGTCATTACTGTTATGCGATGGATTTTTTCAATCAATTTTATTTAGCATCGAAATGAGTCTACCCTAATTAGAAAACCTAAAATGAATGTGTTCTTTTTCTTTTGATAATCATTATCTTCCCTTGAAGCCACAAACATATTCATTCCAATCAATTAAATATCTCAATTTAAAGATTAAATAATGTCGATTTTGGTTATTACTATAGTAAATTGTAGAATATAGAGGAAACAACAAAAAATCATAATATAATAACAAATATTCATAAAGCGATAAGGAACGCGCCATAGACGATGATTACAGTCTCCTCGTTATCAACATTAATTATAGGACTTTATCTACGAAAATTATATTTCCAGTTTTTATCAACAGTTGTAATTTTCTAACTTTGGTTAAGTCTTAATTAATTGATCTTAATATACTAACTCTATAAATGAGTGAATTTCTTCCATAAACTATCAAATTTGATTAAAAGCATATATGAATTTAGTATAAAATTGATAAATAATAATTATGTATTTCTATATACAATATTTTTTATATTTCTCATGTTTCAATAGTAATTGGACAGAGACATAATTTGTAGATCCGAAGATGTTACCCGCCCAAAAGGAAAACGAAAATACGTGAAGAAGTATACTGGTGTTAACAAATATGTTTATTTATTATATTCACGTTAAATTTCGTTAGTACTATGTTAGAATTCGTATTTCTTGGAAACAAGGTCCAACAACGTGGATGGGGAAGCATTTCCGCATCCTATGCATTTTTATTGACCCTCCAATTTAAAGCAAAGCCGAACTAAAGGATTTACTCTGAATCTTGTATACATATTTATTTTACGGCATCAACTAAATTACTGGTTCAATTTTTTTTTTGTAATGTAAAGTAATATTAACTTAGGTTTCGCTTTGCCAAAAGGGCAAAGGAAATACGAAATACGAAATAATTAGATGTTTCCTCTGTATAATAAGTTCGAACGTTAAGTTTTTGCATTCCGTCGTCTTTAATGCGTTGTGCAAATGTTGTGCAAATCACTAACCTTATCCCGACCGCTAATTACAGATTGATTCACTTTTAAACACAAACACAAACGTTTTGAGCGAACCGTTTGCGTCAACTGTACAAATTGGCATTGCCCGTTAACAGGAATTGTAAACAGAAAAGGTGATAAAGATTCTCCTTATTGTTGAATCTACAATTTTTATTTATTTTATATTTTACTTTTCTCTCGCTTCATGATCTCGTCCGTCAGATCTCAGGAGAGAACGAACGAACGACCGACCGACCGAGACCCACGTTACCATTACAGATAAACAATGTAAATACTTCTATAATCGTTATCCAACCTTGCGGACCATCGAAAAAACAACAACAAATGTTCGGTTTCGGGGACCCTTCGAAAATTTCAGTTATTTTTACGTCCTCAGCGGGAGACCTTAATAATTGTAGAAGTCATTAAAAACTCGACAGTCTCATATGCTACATATGTTTAAGCACTATTGCAAGTATTTCATTCGTTCGCTCTCTGTTTTTATTTTACTTTTTTATGTTTGTTATTTCTTCCTTGGGCTTGGATCTCTTTCCATCATCTGTGACAGTCTTCCAACCGACAACCCCCACTTTCGATTCATCTAATTCATTTTTCTTTTGGTCTTGATTCCTATCGTTAAAGATACAGAAGTCTTGAAGGGTTTCCTACCATGCTTAGATTACAGCTATAAATTATATAACATAATTAACAAAATTGGATTAATAATGTCGTTAATGTCCTCACAACATGTGAATTTCGTATAAATTTCGTTATATTTGCTGTTTATGTTTCAATCCTAATCTCTCGTTATTTCTTATCACGTTTTTACTTACATAAGTCAATAGCGTAATCATTCTCAAAATACGTATTCAAATTTCTTGCATATAAAAAGAATAGAAATTATTGTAAAAGTTCGCTAATTCACATGCTCAATCTGAAGAAAAAATCTTAAATTTTCACTTAATTATTAATATTTATCTGTATTAAAAGATAGTTTAACAATGCTTAAATTTAACTAATATCTTGTAATTAACTTTATTTATATAGGCATTGCTTTAAATAACAAGACAATTATTTATATTTGCGCAGTACTGAACTTGAATTTAAATATGAAATTAATAACAATTCAATTAAATATAATCTATTGCTAGTGCAATAATGACTAGTTGTAGTAGTATTTTATGTATATTGTTGGGCCGTTTTCTTCGTAATTAGCCATCGACTACGAAGTCCTCCAGACATGCCTATTGTATTTCTTTAGAAATCCCTCTTCGTTCTAATAGCTTTGCAAGTGGTATTCACGGCATTCTTAACTTTAGTAATAATTGAAAGTCATAGTATATGCACTATTGTTAGCTGGTTTCACTTCTCATTGGTCATCGACGATAAAGTTCTTCAGTTCACGACACTTGTTGCTTAACTATTATTTATTATAAAATATATTTTTTGGTATTTATATTGGTTTCCTGCCAAATTACCTATCGACTGCAATAGCCATCTGGTTTGTAAAATTACATATGGTGTTGAGAGTTATTACTCTAGCAAATCATTCTTTTAGAGTAGGTTCCGGCATCTATTCTGAAATTCAGATTACTAATGTATCATTTACTATTTCTTAGATTGACATTAAAAAAAAACAAACTATATAAGTATTAATGGTTGGTACATAAAAGTGATAAGAGTTTAGACCTGCTTCATGAGATAGATTGGAAGAACTAACAGGAAAACACAGTATTTCAAATGAAATCAGGAGATAGCGTTATCATTTATGTTACGATAATAATTATAGAGAGGCAAATCGCTGGATATGAACGTTCTAGTATTTGAAGGAAAAATTTAAATGCAAAGAATGTACATATAGAAACATGTGCGTTCTGCATAAATTTGGCGCACATTTTGTATTGTATATTTATTTTTTTTGCGAGCTGCGTAGAAAAATTGTGTACGCACGAACGAAACATGCGGTTCTTATCTGTGCAAACTCACAGTACGGATTTTACTTAAGAACAGTATAGAAAGGCTCGGTTTTATGGGAAACATAAATTACTTTTAATTTCATAACTAATTTTCGTTTTAATTTAGTTGATCTGCATATCGTTTAGTTAGATTGTTTTTTTTTTCTATACGGATTAATTAATATATTTTCAATTGAATAGTTATAGTCGGTGTAGTAACGGTTATAAGCGGTTATTTTGTGGATTCTCTGATGATAGTGCTTTGCGAAACAACCATGGTAAACCTACTGGAAGTACAGCAGCCCGAAGAAATGGTGAGTACTAGTAGTTGCAATAACTAAGCAAGCAATACTTTTATGATCGATTCATTAACATTCGCTGAGGTGAGGTTTTCGGTGGACCGCGAGAATGAGACGATGGTAAAAAGAGAGACCATTTCGAATGGTAGTCGTTCGTTCGTTCGAATCATATAAGATTCACTTTCTATAACTCAGAGAAGAGAAGAAAAGGAAGAACGAAAAAGAGAAGACGGACGGGGAAAAAAATGGAAAGGAGAGAGAGAGAGAGAGAGAAAGATGGAGTAAAAAAGAAGAAGCGAAGAACGAAAACCGAGAAGAAGAAATAATAAGGCGCGGAAAGGACCAAAATCAGGTTTCGCGCTTGGGGCTGCGGCGGTTCGAAGCGATGCGTCGTTATCGGCGACGCGACGTGCGATTCTCGACCTTAGGGGCGGCTGGTACGATCACGTGACGTCAGCGGCGGCGGCGCGATTGGCTTTATCCAATTCGTTGTGTAGTCCTCTCTCTCTTTTCCACCGATGCCGTCAGATGGTTCCGTGTATTTACTTCTTCTCTCTCGCTCTCCCCTGTGTATACAATAAAGTGGTTGCCGTTGGTGGGGGTTGGGCGCTCGCGGAGCAAAGCCAGTGAAGTCCACTAAAAGCAGTCAGTGTGCGAAAGAGCGCATAGAGTGAAAGACGCACGCGTTACACTGCGACGGAAAAGCGCATTTGGTTTTAAATTTTACACAAGTTCTAAGCGAGTCTTCCAGTGCAGCAGCGTATCGTTGTGTTGTGTCACCCACCACCAACTAAGTTTTCTTGGCCTTTGTTCTGTTCCGCGAAAGTGTCGTGCTCATCATCACACACACACACACACAATCATCATCAGACTACAGCCTACCAAAGCTACCAATATCAACAAACAACAACTATTTTCAACAGAAGAAAAAGCGACCGCCTCCTTTTCGTTTCTTTCTTGATACATTGGAAATAACACTTGTAAAGGATGTCTACCGCGGTGATGTCACAGAATGCGATGTACGAGTTCGGCGATATTATTATAAAGGTAATTATAGTTAACGTGTTTGCACTTTCGTCCAAGAGGCGAAGGAAGAAGATATGAAGGAAAAGAGACCAAATAATATACAAAAAAAACAAAAAGAAAGAAAGAACGAACAACATAAACATTGAGGATAGTAGTATACACACTACTACACGTACGTCGACTGGCTCTTTCTTATACGATCAGTTCTTATACGAGAGCAACAGGAGATGATGCACTTTCTGTTTAGAACAGGTAGAATATACCTGTTCGGCTTCAGGTAGACGCGCGCGGGTTCGATCTTTGGTATTAGTATTCAAGGACCCTAGCCTGCAGAACCGGCTCTGCTTGTTTTAAGGTTTTTTCCCCTATACATAATATTTGGCATAATTGGTTCTTTTTTCTTCTTCGATCTTCACGTCCTCCTCATCCTCCTCCTTTCTTCAACACCACCACCACCAACTCATCTCGTCTTCTCTTTCGCATCTTTCTTTCTTTCTGCAAGAACAACAACAATAATAACAATATGTTGTTTTATGTTTGTTTGTGTGCACGAGTGGAAGGTTTCGCCCTACCTCTACATTTATAGACGGCGGCGAAAAGAGAAATGCCTTGCCTTGCCTGGTACTCTATACAAGCGCACAAGACTCCCACTAGGTCTTAGCTTTCACATCGTCCAGTCTAGTGCGGTTGTCACCGCGTGAAAGTAGGATTCTAGAACGAACTTTTACCAATTGTATAAGCAAGCAAGCAAGCAAGCAGGAGGAGAAGAGATGAAAGTGTGTGTGTACGAGGAGAGATGTTGGCCGGTCCGGCGGCGATCGCTATCAGTGCACGTTTCTTATCGCCCAACCTGTTGCTTTTTTCCAGAATAACGGCGTGCCGAGTCCAGAGTCGTCGCCAGGTTCCCATTTGGCCGTCGGTTCAGCCGCAGCCGTCCGATACACCCTCAGTCGCATGGCATCCACGCCGAACGCGTCGGCCACTGCTAGTCTAGTGAGTTCCATCCTCGGCAACTTCACGCAACAACACAGGCGTCTGGAGAGGACGCAGTCGGCCCCGGCGCCGGCCTCCGCTCTCCCAGCAACCCAGGGAAACACCTCCAGGTACAAGACGGAGCTGTGCCGTCCGTACGAAGAGTTCGGCGTGTGTAAATACGGTGATAAGTGTCAATTTGCCCACGGCATTGCGGAACTGCGCAACTTGGCCAGGCATCCGAAATACAAAACGGAATTGTGTCGCACCTACCACACGGTCGGGTTCTGTCCTTACGGCCCTCGGTGCCACTTCGTGCACAACCAAGAGGAAGTCATGCAACAGACCCGATCCTCAATGCCAACGGCAATCCTAGCCGTCAACAGGAACAACCGTCAACGTCCCGCCGCCCTAAGTCCTGCACTCTCCCTGGACAGTAACAACAGTCCACCCTGCAGCCTAAGTCAATCACCTACATCCTCTATGGGTTCCTTCTTCAGCAGCGAACCTGAGCTGCACTCCCCTGGCGTTGTCGACGATCAGAGGTTACCAGTGTTCAACAGGTTGTCCGCTCCCCTTTTAACGCTCGGCGAGCTTCCGTAGTGCCCAAATCTTCTATTCTTCAAACCCTTTTTTTTAATAATATTATCATTATTTATATACTTCTTATTTCAAAAGATAAAAAATGAAACCATTTACTCAGACAATTATTTAATTTTGCAGTGTCTATTTATATTTCTATATTATATATTATATAATTATATTCTGCTATAGAGCAGAGTGATTTTGATATTGTGTGATTTTTTTAAATATATATATATATATATTAATATTATATAAAATCTATTTAGTTTTAGGAAGGCGAGTTTTTTTTTTTATAACGAATGTTGTTAAGTGAATGAAATGATGTGCAACTTTAGGTTTAGTTAAGGTTTCATCGGTCTCGATTTTGTTTTCTTTTTTATTATTATTATTATTATTATTTTTGTTTCCTTTCAACATTCCGCGAACAATTTAATTTATTTTATTCTTCCCACCCACCCTTTATTTCTTCTCATTTATGTGTGCGCCTGACCGATGAAGAGAGAATTTGAATTTTTGTTATTTAAATCATTATTTAATTTGTATGTTTCTCATTTTCAACACGTTTATGTTATGTAGTTATTTTTTTTTTATTGTAATTTATATGTAACTTATTATTTATATTTACCGCAATATTACATCTATAGGTGACCAAATGTGCTCAGCACATATTTACTATAGCTAAGGGAAAAGAAACTACCCGTATATACCTGTATATTTATGTAGCTATAATGTAACTTTATATAATTATCAATAAATTATATTTGTTCTTCAAAAAAAATTCAAAAAGTCTACTTGTGTTTTGTTCCGGCCAGCTGAGCAGGGCCTCGGCACACTCTTTCTTACTGCTCCTGCTGCTGCTGCACCCAGACATTACCTGCCCATACATTATTACACTTCATTTAAATTCTACTATCATACATAATTTCAAAACGAGTTTCCCATACCAGCCAAGACTCAATTTATACACACATACGATGATCAATACAAAAATCATAAGATCCGGCTGATCCAACATCTATTCATCGTCACCTCCACAAAACGCTTTCAACAAAACACTGATTTACTTCTTAAAATAAATATTTAACAAAAAAAAAATTCATGGCTACATAAATACTTATAATCAAACATTAGTCATTTAATATTTATTACATCTCATTATGTATAAATAAAGTAATGTAAATAATGAATAATTTGTAATTTCATAGAAAAAAAAATAGTAAAGAATCAAATTATCAACAATCAAATAATATAGAAAGTGTATAAAGGATATTAAATGTTAGCAACATTTATGAAAATGTCACTATTATAAACAAACTAATTAACAAAAATGTTTTATTTGGATTTTTTTTAAAAACGTTCATATTTTATTAAACTTTCACTGCATTCAGATTTGAATACTGAGAGTAAATATCAAATTCATACACTTATAGTGAAATTTAAACAATTAAAAGTGTTTTCATTTTATTTATGAAATAAAGATTATTGAAAGTTACGTTTCAAATGTTAGTGATGCATATTTAGATTTCATTATAACTATTTTTGTGACTTGTACAAAGAACTAAATTACTTAATTTAGAAATATAGAAATAATAAATACAGTTTAATTTATGCATACTTCAATTACAATTTTAATGTTACCTGATTAGTATGAAATCAGCCTGAACTTACATCCTTCAGAGTTTAAAAATATCCATGTATAATAAAACATCAATTATTTGATGTGTAATTAAATTTAAACTGTGATTATAATTGGAATGTGCTATGCAATCAATGCAAGTTTGTGTGTTTCGGAATGATTTCATTTGCAGTAGGCAATGTTGAATTACCAATCAGTAATGTAATTAAATAGAGACTTATTCAAACGTACAAATATGCAAATATGTTCCTAGATTTGACCCAAATGACCAATTTTTAATTAATATAAAACATTCACTTGTTCATTTGCCGCCCTCTAACTGCCCTCATTAGATACATACTGGCCTATTGAACTAACATCTTGCGCCATCTACAATCTTATATATGCACTTCGGTAAGAAAAACATGAAATGTTATTTCGTTGCGCCATCTATATTCGATTGTAATACCTAATTGCAGTGACCTATGAAGCTGTCAATCGGATGACAATTACGGTGAACGTTTTGGGGAAGAAGTAAACGCAAATTACAAGTCATCTGAAATGGAAAACATGGAAGTAGCTTTGCCCGAAAAAGTGAGTAAATTATGTATAAACTAGAACATTAATTAAATTTAGTAGTTGCTCGTTCCGTATATTTACAAGTTTTTTGTTGTTTACACTGTTTTATACAGTGTAATTTGACTTAGTGTGTTCTTAGTAACCTGTATTTATCAAAACATTATTTCCAAATAAACTGTCACTGCAATGAATAAATTTAAGGATGAGGGGAGCCCTGCTGAGCAGAAACAAGTCCTGCAGGATATGGACCTAGAGGACCTCTACACAAAGTACAAGAAGCTTCAACAAATGCTGGAATTTCTAGAGGTACAGGAGGAGTACATAAAAGATGAGCAACGTAATCTGAAGAAGGAGTATTTACATGCTCAAGAGGAAGTTAAGAGAATTCAATCTGTACCTCTGGTAATTGGACAATTTCTGGAAGCTGTTGATCAAAATACTGGCATTGTCGGTTCAACCACTGGTTCGAATTATTATGTCAGGATTTTATCAACTATTGATAGGGAACTGTTAAAACCGTCTGCGAGTGTAGCTTTGCATAAACATAGTAATGCTCTGGTGGATGTGTTACCACCAGAGGCAGATTCATCAATTAGTATGTTGCAAGCAGATGAGAAACCTGATGTTTCATATGCTGATATTGGTGGTATGGACATGCAAAAGCAAGAAATTAGGGAGGCAGTTGAACTACCATTAACACACTTTGAATTGTACAAGCAAATTGGTATTGATCCCCCACGCGGTGTTCTCATGTACGGTCCTCCTGGTTGCGGTAAAACCATGTTGGCTAAGGCAGTTGCACATCATACAACAGGTATTTTTTAAACTATACACTTAATATTTAATATGTACTTAAATTTTGTTTCGTTTTAGCTGCTTTTATCAGAGTTGTGGGTTCAGAGTTCGTTCAGAAATACCTAGGCGAGGGTCCACGCATGGTGAGAGATGTGTTCCGTCTGGCGAAAGAGAACTCTCCAGCAATTATTTTTATTGACGAAATTGACGCTATTGCTACGAAACGTTTTGATGCGCAAACTGGAGCCGACAGGGAAGTGCAACGTATCCTGCTCGAGCTTCTCAATCAAATGGACGGATTCGATCAGACAACTAATGTGAAAGTAATCATGGCTACAAACAGGGCCGACACATTGGATCCAGCATTGCTGAGACCTGGACGTTTGGATAGGAAAATTGAGTTCCCCTTACCGGATCGTAGGCAGAAACGGTTAATTTTAACTACAATCACATCAAAGATGAATCTATCAGAGGAGGTTGATCTAGAGGACTTCGTGGCACGTCCAGATAGAATTTCTGGAGCCGATATCAATGCAATTTGCCAAGAGGCGGGTATGCACGCAGTAAGAGAGAATAGGTACATCGTCTTACCGAAAGATTTCGAGAAGGGTTACAAGAATAACATTAAAAAGGATGAAAGCGAACACGAGTTCTATAAATAAATTATTATATTTTTTTCTTTCTTATTTACTAATTGATGTTTGTGCTTATTCGATGTAATAAAAAAAGATTTACTAATAACTGTTTGCGTTTTCTAATTTTTTCATTACCTTCCCCAATAAATGATGGAAATGTAACAGATTTCAATCTAATAGGAAGAAACGTTTATAAGTCGATAAGTTCCGAAGCAATGAACAAATAAAAATACTAATTGATTCTTATTAAGCAGATTAAAGATAAATTCTAGTGCACACAACAATTTTTGATGTTTTTCAGTAAAAACGAGGATGAGAATGGGGGCAAAACAATGAGCAAGTAAAATGAAATACCATATAATTTATTTATATTCATTTTTGATAAAATTTCATACATATATAATTGTTTGTTTCAGTTTTAGATCAGTGGTTGTTTACTAAAGGCAAAATCGATGAAAATATTTTTTGAAAAATAAATAAAAAAGGCACAATCTAGATGTAGATACCCTCTTCATATAATTGTTAATATAATATATATATATAGATAATGTATATAAATATATTTTATAAATTACTCTTCGTCCCTGCCACTTGCCGGGCAATACAAAAATAAATATCACAATCCCCTATATATCCTAACATCACTTCCAAATTCATCCAATTCCGTTAGTTCTACACATTTTTATTCTTTTCTTATGGCAAGAGAGATATTTCATGTTTATTTGTCTATTATGATTCGCTTAAAATTTGTGTTTTAAAAAGGTGCAATAGTAGTTACTCAACATCAATATTTCTCTTCATATAAAAAACATTGTATATTATTTATCAACCAACTTTTCAATAAAATATTATTGTTTTTTTTTCCTTTCCTTTCCTTTCCTTCTTATAGTTTGGTCAATGGGTTGTACAACAATTTTGAAAACTCAATAATCCAGATATGCTCTTTTTGAAAAATAATATATAAAAAAAAAAGAAAGAAAATTGTACAATTAATACTGCCATTTTTCTTTTCTCATCTTCAAACAAATCGTTAAAACAAAACAAACTAAAAGTAATAACAAAACGTAATGAATAAATCTCTTTGTATAAATAAAACAGGAAGTAACGGTAAGTAAACCTAACTCTATAAACTGGGGGCTAAATAATTTCTTTCAATCATTTAACATTCAATATACAGTAAATATATATATATATATGCATATATAATAAACTCTCTATATAATATATAAAATAGAAGATCTCTCTTTAGCAATCAGATCATAATAATAAAATAAAATAAAATTATTGCAATTGTTAATAATAATAATAATAACATATATATAATAACAAAAATATAAATATTTATAGGTGTATAGCTATAACTTTCTTTTCTTTATATAATATAACACACATGCAATTTGGTTTTTTTTACATTTAACTTTAGTTTACATCAATTATTAAGTAAAGTATGGTAACTCACAATAGGTTAAATAAACTTTCAAAATGTTAATAATAATTAAAATTAAATTTAGGTTTCGTTCTTTTAAGATTTTAAAGTATTTAAATAATCACATAATTTTGGAGCACCAAAATAATAATAATAATAACAGAATCGTTAATAAATTTGGCTTAAAACTTAATACCTTCGTGTTTTTTTTCTCTTTCTTTCTTTCCTTCTTGTTCTTTAAATTGATATGCTTCATCGATTTATACTTTCCAGCTAATTTGTTACTCTTTAAACTTAACTACACAAAATCAACAAATGTTACTGTTAGAGATACACATAGCGAACATTTCGATAAAAACAGAAGAGCATATAAAATTAAAAACTTTTTTAAACACATATCCAGACATGCATTAAAGAAGTTAACATCTATTTCTTTTTATGTATTTTTCTAACAATGAAGTGTCTGACACTATATATATGTATGTTTATATATATATTTCACATCGAGTCTCAACAATACCAATTGAAAGTTGCATTGTTTTCGATACTCGATACAAAAAAAAAGTTTCATATTTATGTGTTAGAAACATTACCTGGAATTTTTTCCTTGTAGGCCGCAATTGTGGCCAACGTCGCCAGACCAGATAATTCATCGTTGAATTGATTGGCGCATTCGAAGCTAGTCTTTTCTAAGTGAGTGATGTTATTCTTGTTTTTTCTTTTCTTGGATCCAATTAACTGTTTCCCTTTGACCGCTTCCACCTTATGCTTCAAATCTCCTTTGTTGCGGACGAATTTACTTCGCTTTTTACTCTCCTTCTTGCGTTCCAAATATCTATCATAACTGAGACTAGTTAATTCGCATATACGCTTGTTTAGATCGAACGATGGAATGCTCTTGGAGTAATCGTCTGGTTCAGACTGTTCCGATGATGTTCTTGTGCGCTCCTGCTTTCCATTGTCAGCCTTAGGCAAAATCCGTTCTTCAAGTCTTTTGATCGTGTTGTTTAAATCTATACTTGAAATCTCTTGGGACTTTTCCCTTTTGGTCTTCAACAGCCTGCTATTGAGCATGAATTCTGCATACCTGTTGCCTTTGCATTTTCTATCTGACTTTCTGGTATCTTTAAAGTCGTTCCTTGCATCCGAATCGTCGTCAACATTAATATCAGTTTCAATAGGTGGTGACTCGAATATATTCTTCTGCACACTTTTATTGTCGATGATTTCCAAAGTACGTTTTTTCAGCGGCTTCGCTGGTTCGTTTTTATCAGAGCCGGACTTGACTGGACTCGTCATATATTCTCTGTTGTTATTTTCCATCTCGTTATTGTTGTTGCACAAAGTGGTATCAACGTTCTTTTCTTGAGGCTTAACAGTAAAAGTGCTGTTACTGTTCAAAAGTGTTGACAACATGCCCAACTGCGATTCATCGGCAAGTTTACCTGGAGTAAATTCAGCTCTGGCGTTGTGCAGATTAACAGATGAAATTGGAGATGTCGGCTCTTGCTTAAAATTATTTGGTCTCGTTGGTAACGTACGTAATGGTGGAGCGGGAAGCTTGTACCACTTGAAGTTAGGGTTTGCAGAAAAGAAAGCATCTTTGTACTGAAAAGCAAACAATAATCAATTTTTATACAGATTTTGGGTTTGAAAAAAAGAAAACACGTACCTCTTTAGCCAAGTTCGTATACGGGTTCTTATCGTGTATATCCAACAGAGCCCACCATTCTCCAAGAATTCTGGTAACACCGCGATTTTCCAGATTCGGAAACTTGTTTCTAACAATCGGCCTGTGTTTCTTACAGAATATTAAAAAGGCATTCATTGGTCGTCTAGCATGATGTGCTGGAGATGGCACAGTTTCATCTGCTGTGCTTGTTGCCTCCTCCAAATGGTCGACTTCTTTCTCGACCTTGACAACTTCCTCGTTCATACTCACAGCATCCGTGCTCTCGTTATTGTCGCAAGACCATGACATCTTGGTCGTTTTCTCCATTTCAACGTTCATTTCGGTTTTACGATTATTCATGAAAGTGCTTTTTGTCCAAATATCATTAACACTCATTCCTTTCAAAGAGTATTTACTGCACACATTCATGCTTTTGTTGTTATCCAGCGCTTTTGATTTGTACCACATAAAACGATTACTTTCTGACACAGAGTTCATTTCATTCAGCATGCAACCAATATACTGCGGAGTCCTGCAATTGTTTCAGTTGAACTGCAAAACGAAAACAAAATTATAACTCAACACTCAATGTATTAAACGTGTAATTTACAAAGCAACAATCATTATTCAATAAATAACCTTACGTATTATGTATTAAACGGGGAATCTTCTATAAATTCATATTTTAAATGCAATTCAGTACAATATGTAAATCATATTATTATATGTTTCACTATCTTTTAGACGAAATAATTATATCATTCCAATAATTACTAATATCATTACCTTGAAATTTATTTTTATTATTCACATTTGGAGTCATAAATAACTATTCACAATAATTAACCCACACAACTGAATTTTTAACGATTTAATTTAAAGGATTACGTGCGATTTATTATTAAAAAAAATTGATTCATCATTTCAATATTAATCACTAAAGCAACAAATCAAATAATTATCTAATCCATCAATTCTAACAAAACTTTTTAAAAAACATTTACATTTTTACCCACAATTATTTTGTTTTTTATATACAATAAACTATAAAGAATGCACTACATTCCATATAAATATTCAAATGAATGAAAGTTAAATATAGTATAGAAATTCACTTTGGACATGATAACTACATTCATTTAAAATGTTGTTTTTTTTTTAAATTTCATAGCTATTAACAAGTACCAATAAGATTAAAATAATGCATTAAAAATAAATCTATACGTTTATTTTATCTAATCTATTTCACAAAGATACATTTTATTTACAGCTGTACAACTGTAGATATGAAAAGTTAAAGTCACTTGTTTCATTATGTTTAATTAAACACACCGAAAATTGATTATTTTCTAATGTACACATCAACTTGATGTTGAATTCTAAATGAAATTTTAATTCAACCTAGTAACCTACTAAGCAAAATAAATAAACAATATCTATATTGGCACATACATAAAACATACATATATTGGCCAATAAATTTGTTATATAATTGCAAAAACTATTGGTAAAAATATTATGGGTATAATTTGGAATAAATAATCCTATTAGAATGATTATGGGATATTTGCATTTCGTATTTTGGTGATGACTGCATTAAAATTACTAGATAATTAATTGCATTGATTAATTTCAATGTTTGTATTTTTTGTATGATAAAATATGACATACAATAATTGATAACTTAAGCAACATACTTAGATAGGTATTATAGCTATAACAACGATTGTCTTTACACCACATATGTTCACTCAATAAGCAACCTTTTGTTATATCAAATACATAATTTATACATGAAAAAATACAAGTTTTTCATTAACGCAAATAAAATGTAATACGTAACATAATTATCTAACATTTGAAAAGCAGGTGACGTCCCTGACCATGGTCATAGAGTGAAACAGCCTCATTCATATATATATAAATTTTTAAATAAAAATAATTATATTTATATATGAACAACAATATTTGAACTTAACAGATTTCATTTAAAAGTGGTGTAATTGCTTGTTATATAATAACTGAAACTGAAAATATGCGTATTTAAATGTAAACTCATTTAAAAATAGAATTGGGTACATTCATAGAGAGCACAAATATATGTAATATATATATATACATTTTTAAAAAGAAAAGATGAGCCTACGTCTTGGACATTTGGCGTCACGTTTTAATGCAGTTTGCGCAATGGTATAATTAAAACAAAGATGATACTTTCTTTGTTGAAATGTCATCGCGACCGGAATCGATGAAATTCCCCCGAAACTTGCAACATATTTCGGATTGAGCAGAACAGATTTTTCGGTAGTCGCCATTCAATGTCACCCGCTCGCTATTGCAAATCGAGTATATGCAACATGATTCACGGAAAGCAGCATCTTCGTCTCTGTTTTTTTTTGTTTTGTTTCAAATGAAGATTGCCCTACTTAGTAAGACAAAATTTAAAAGTAAATGATCGATGATTGGTAATTATCGATGGCGATGATCGAATTCAGCAGTTGGTGACTTCAGGATGGAGAGGAGAAGAAAAAGTGTATGTGGATCAGGCGGAATGCATCTGTATAATGCAAAAGTATATAAAAAAAATGCACGGGCAATCGCTTCAAGGCCAATTGAACAATACGGTCTCCAAAAAAGACAGCCATTAATGCAATTCTAAATGAAAAGCTGTGCGATTCGTCGGACAGTTAATAAAACCCACAGAGAAATTGGCGAATTCATCGGAATCCCCGAAAACTGGCTGGAAAGCGAAGCTGCAACACGAATATTGTTGTATATTTACCTATGATATAGCAGCCATAGCAAGCGCAATCACATGACGTCACAACGATATATCGGAGTATCCTCAAACTGACACAGAAAAGTTAAATGATTTACTGGAAACGAAACCATATTGCGGTCCTTTCCTACATACCTCACCGCCGTCTACTCTTTCAGTCACATTAAAATCACTAAACAAATCCAATAAATCGCTGCAGAATGCAAGATGTCTGTCACTGTTTAGATCGTCAGCTGTTCCCCCTTGCCCCACTACCTAATGAATGTTGACACTGAATTCGATTGGTTCGCTTCCACTTTTTTTTTTACTTCTCTTTCGTTTCGTTTCGTTTCGTTCTTTCAAAAAGAGTTTCCATTTATTTGACACAGTTTCTTTCCTTCTCGCTCGCTCCCATCCACCTCCTCTTCCGATAATCCGGATTTCAAATGCGCACACCGCGATTATCATACAATTATTTTCATCTAATAAGAATTGTTGCGATCGCAGACGCAATCGAATCTTATCACCTGTGAAATATTTGATCCAATTCGAACCAACTTCCAATTAACAACAAGAAGCGCGAGAAAATGGCCAACTCAATACAAAATAACACTACTTATAAAAGACAAATAATTAAACTTTCTAATGCAACTTTTTTTTTATATATATAATTTCCCCACTTATCCAAATATCGAACTAATCGAAAACAAATTAAATCGACAGTATACAAATGTTCTCATTGCAGTACTTGTTTCATTATTTACAAAACATTCAAATTATTTGTACATTCGCAGCAGTAGTTCAAACAGTTTGCTTACTGGACAACTTCAAATCGCATGTTGTTGCATACAATTGCTGCTACCTTCAGTTTATTTTGTACCAGCCTTATCTCTATTTATAGACAGAGAATTATCACTGACTTGTTGGTTCCCCTGATTCATAACAAAGGAGACTGAAGTGGACATTTTGTGGTGAATAAGGTAAAAACTCTCTGTTTTCAATACTTTTCTGTTTAATAAATTAATTTATAGATGGGCAGAATATTCCTGGAACATATGGGTGGCGTTAGGCTTTTCTCATGTGCTAGATGCGACACAAATCTAACAAACCGATCAGAATTAATCAGTACTCGATTCACTGGTGCTACCGGCAGAGCATTTCTTTTCAACAGAGTTGTGAACTTGACATACAGTGAAGTTCAGGATAGAGTTATGCTTACTGGTAGACATATGGTATATATATATATATTACTCCTAACTATATAATATACATACAATGCATTTCATTTCAGGTTCGTGATGTGTCTTGCAAATCCTGTGATTCCAAACTTGGTTGGATGTACGAGTTTGCTACTGACGAAAATCAAAGGTACAAAGAAGGTAGAGTGATTTTGGAGAGGGCTTTGGTAACTGAAACTGATGGAATGGAAGAAAGGGTTTCCTTTAATGATAATTAAGTATTATTTAATTTATATGTTTTGCATATTCTATCACTGCCAGTTATAATATTATATTTTTAATTATTGAAAATATAATATAAACAATTGTAAGTGATTTCATGAAACACAATGTTTATTATTTGCATTTACCTAGACTACATCATATTGATCAAAGTATTTGAATAATGTGATCATTTTTCATTTTTATCTCATAAATATTTTATAAATAATATTATTTATCTTTCCTACAGTAGAAATAATGGGCCCTGTTGGCTAAACAACTCAGAAAAGTAGGAATCCGAATAGACAATATACATTTTTCTTGTATATTTTATTAAAATTAAATTCTATCAATATATCTATATATATAATTGTGTCTATTTATTTTCTAAAGGTTCATACCCATGCTTTTCAATCTTTTCTTTGAACTGCAAGTAACTTCGTTTTCTATCGAAATGTTTCACCCATTGCGGAGAGCATGATTGCTCATACATCTTCCTGAAATCTGCACAGGGTCCTGTCGGTGTTGTTTCATTGATCTTATTTGCATCTAAACATTTCCAAAAATCATCCCTCGATGACCAGCATTTCGTTCTCTCCTCTTTATTTGGAAATGACATTCTTCCTAAAAACAAATCAAGAAAGTCCAAGAGATCTGATTAAATTTTAATTGATATTTTCAAATAATTATATAATACATACAAATTATCAATAAAATGATGTAATTTTTCAATAAAGCAAGTTAAATAATTATTGAATTTACCTATTTTCACTAACTTCCAATTGGCCAGATACGGTTTTATATGAATTTATTTACAAATTGGATTGAGGTTCGTTTTATAAGGATAACCTACAAAACACTTCTCTCCAGTCCAATTTGAGGTTAAGTCATTTGTGTTATAAAACTATATGTAGCTGGATAATTTATAATGGCCTTATATAAAGTAAAATCCCTTTTTCAACTTGGAAATCAAATACAGCCGCTGTTAATTACGCAGTGCGATAAATTCCATACTACAAGTGATTTAAGTGCTTGGAGTAGAAATAGTGGTCCTAAAAGGTGGTTAAAATACAATGATGTTATATACCCTCCGCAATCGCCTGATGAGGAACCAAGACCTGCTGTAAGACAATAGTAACATATTTTTATGAATATATTTTAGCAGTATTTGTTGTTGCAGTTTGTTTGCCATCAGCGCACGAATATTAAATACAGTCCATGGAAGATGTGGTACATAGCCAGTTTAGTTAGGGGCATGTCCGTGGATGAAGCTATAAAACAATTGAAATTTGTTTTGAAGAAAGGATCTAAGGATGTCATGGAAGTTATTGAAGAAGCCCGAGAATTAGCTATTAAAGAACATAATGTTCAGTATGGAACCAATTTATGGGTTGGTGAGTATTGTCTCTTTCAGATTCACTACAGTATCTCCATTTTTATCTTAAATATAACAAATATTAAATTGGAGACTGTTTACTTCATACAAATATAATGGATTTGGAACAAATTCTGCAGAAAGTTTAAAACAGAATTGTTTAAAATACTAAACAGAATTTCGTTACAGCTGAATCCTTTGTTGGTAAAGGTCAAGTGATTAAGGGGATGAGAAGACACGGCAGGATGAGGCACGGTCTCGTAAGATACTTCCATTGTCATTACTTTGTAAGATTAGAGGAAGGTACACCACCAAAGGACTACTACATGCATGCCCCCAAGGAGCCCAGTCAACAGTTGCAGGAATGGTTGGAGGAAATGAGGAAACGCAAGATTATAAACTCTTTGTAAACTTATATAATATAAGATTTATAGGATGTGTTTTTAAATGAAAATAAATTAGTTAATATTTAAAGTTGTAGTTTATTTTAATCATTATCAAAATTGATTCTGGTGTCACATCTTACAACTTCAACTTGGTTCTACGCCAATGACGCCTCTTAGCGTTGTATCTGAAATAAACAAAAAAATGAATTAGAAATAACAAAACAAACATTAAAACATATTTGGAAATTTATATTAATAGTAGACAAAAAATACTGCAGTCAATAGATCTTTGTATTTATGTATACAATAAATTTAACTTCACTGATGATTAAATATAGTCAAGTTGTGAAGATTACCAATTTACAAATATAACATAAAACACAGATTTAAAAAAAATAATTCTCAATTTACTGAAAGCTTTTAGTAAATGTAAGATTAATATTGATATGTAATAAACTATTGAAATATTTTCTACACATTTATTGCATTATTTTCAAAACGTAAGCTTCATACGTATTAAAAATAATGAAAAAGTGAAGTTCGTATATCGAAGATATGGTATGTAAATCATAACCTCAAATATAGAACATTTATAAAAACAACCACTATTTTTAACTAATTTTTTTCGCGATTTTCTCAAACAACAACGATATATAATACACATGAAAATCTCTGTTGCATTTACCTGATTGTGTTTCCAGTCCTCATTCTAACCCATTGGGGAATTGGTCTGTTTTGTTTGAGTTTTTTAGCGAGTTTACGCTTGATGATGAAGGTCTTGTGGGCCGCCTAAAAACAGAAAATATTATTAAAAAACGATACTTGCATGCGTAAATTAAAGAATGTTGTAAAAATATTCGATGAAAATGCTAGGATTACACGAATTTTCGTAGAATTATTTTAGGTACTCACCATTCTGACCGAACGGAGGCAAAATTTCACACAAAAAGACTGGCTTCACAAATAGTTGGCATTAGGCGATGTGATCGTCCTTCGTGCGCATGCGCGAACAATTTGTCAGACAAGTTGCATACGAAACTTATTGTTACTTCAATATTGGAAATATTTATAAAGATTGAATCATTTCCGATTACAATAATATTACGTAATTTCATGTAATATTATTACAATATTTTTTGTAATACTATTTTAAAAATTATTATTTTCATTACTAGAAAATATTGTTCTCATGTTTACTACATTTATAACGAAGAAAACATAAACTTTGTTGCTTTTAATAATTGAAACTTATAGTTTCAGTGGTAATAATATGTTATATTGCATCGTCATTTATTATTTGCATATTATTTTGCAATATTGTTCAAGTTTTTGTTACTGTATGCAACCAGATGAACCTGAAAAAACTTCTATAAATATGAAAAATTCCCGTTTTCTATTGAACGATTCAACAATCTAGTTTAATTATTATATTTTATTGTACATAAGTTGTGTAAGGAAGCGCGTAATTAAATAATAACTTCTTTTGGGATTTTATTGTTGAGTATTTGGTAACAGATTATCCTCCAAACTGCTGAAAACTGCTTTATAAATCGAAGATGTCGCTCTAACAGCCGGCAACGGCGAACAATTTTTGTTTGATTTTCATTGCGAAAGGCATCAATTTTAGAATAAATGTTGTAAATAATACGAAAATATATTCAAGGTTCGTATGTAATTCTTAGAACAACGTCAATTGCTTTTGATGATACCTAAGGTATTCTACTTGTTAGGTGTGTTTTGCCATGCTGTTTTGTTTTTATGTGACATGTGTGTGTGAAATAAAAAAAATTATAAATTATCCACCAACATTTTGGGTTGCAATTAGACATATTGCAAAGATATAATAAGTTTTACATGAGCCAACTGTTGTTACAGGTATATTATAAATAGTGGGTAGGATGGCCGGTCCCGATGTTGCAGCTTTGGCAGCTGATCTTGCAAGAGCAGTGGAGCTCACTATGAGTCCCACAGCAGCACAAGCTGATCGACTGAAAGCTTATAATGCTTGTGAGAGTTTTAAAGAGACTTCACCACTCTGCGCAGAGGCTGGTCTGTTCTTAGCTGCCGGAACACAACATTCGATTTTATCAAGGCATTTTGGGCTCCAGCTGATGGAGCATACTGTTAAGTATCGATGGACACAGATATCGCAAAATGAGAAACTGTTCATTAAGGTATTTCTTGTATAATGTTGTAACTGTCATTATTACTGTGTATTTCTATTTGCCAGGAAAATGCAATGAAATTACTGGCTGCTGGTGGCATCAGTGATGAGCCGCACATGAAAGATGCATTGAGTAGAGTTGTTGTTGAGATGGTGAAAAGGGAATGGCCTCAGCAGTGGCCAGGTTTGTTGGCTGAATTGTCAGATGCTTGTGTTTGTGGAGAAATACAAACTGAGCTAGTGTTAATGGTATTTTTGCGTTTGGTTGAGGACGTTGCGCTTTTGCAAACTTTGGAATCTAACCAACGACGGAAAGATATTTATCAAGCTCTTACAACGAATATGGCTGTCATTTTTGAATTTTTTCTACAATTAATTGAATTACATGTTGGTCAATTTAGAGTTTGCAGTGAAACTGAAAACCAGCCTAAAGCAGCTGCACATGGAAGAGTTGTACAAGTCGTACTCCTCACATTGACTGGATTTGTTGAGTGGGTTTCCATGTCCCATATAATGGCCCGCAATGGAAGACTACTGCAAATACTTTGTCTGCTCCTTAATGATAATTCTTTTCAATGTCCAGCTGCTGAATGTTTGTCACAGGTAATTTTACAACATTTACATCAATCACATTGCTCAAAAGATGGGATTTTTAATACATACAATGAAAATTTAATGAAATTTATATAAATAAATTGCCACAAAAACATTGAATTTTGGTTGTGAATTAAATAAGCTGATATGTAATTTCATTTGAGCATTGTAAAATTTTTATAAAATTATGATAAATAAGAAATAATTATTTTTTTTATAGATTGTAAATCGTAAAGGAAAACTTGAAGAAAGAAAATCTTTAATGTTTTTGTTCAATGATGAGGCTATTCAGTGTTTAGTGTCAGCTGCCAAAGTTTCAATTATTACTCTCAACGAACAAGATTATTTATTTAAGAAGAAATTGATTCAGGTGATTTTATTCATTATTAAATGCAAGTCAGAAAATAATTATTTTAATTTTTAGATTCTTTGTGGTATTGGGACACAGTTATGTTCCTTGTGGGGTAAGGATGGTATGCAACGTCCTTCAAACTATTCCTTGTTTTTAGATGCCATTCTTGCATTTTCTTCCCATCCTAGTTTAACGCTTTCCCACCTCGCTAATCCTTTGTGGAATAGTATGATGAAACATGAACACATTTCTAGAGATCAAGTTTTCCTGTCCTATATTCCGCAGTGGGTTCAATGTACTGCTCCTAAATTAATTAAACTAACTTATCCAACTAACAAAAACTCGAACAATCCGAACGAGGCAGCTTCTTATACTCGATTCGAATTTGATAGCGAAGAAGAATACTCTATTTATTTCCATCGTTGTAAATCGGATTTCTCTGACAGCTTCAGGTACTTGCACATACTCATATACATTACGTTTATTTATTAAATTTAATTATTAATTTTAGACAAGCTACTGTAATAGCTCCTATCGTCACCTTTAGTTACGCAGAGCAGTGGTTGATTAAATGTCTGCAAGTACCAAATATTACTGGTGTTAATACTACTGATCCAGTATACCTCGAATGGGAAGCCCTTTCTAATTGTTTGGAAAGCATTTTGAGTCGCGTCTTGCAAGCTCAAGAACGGCCCTCCGTGCAATCTGGATTAACTCTTCTTCAGATGTGTTTAACTTATCAGCCAGTTGATCCTCTTATACTGTCTACACTTCTTACATGCATTTCTGCTTTATTCGTTTTTCTAAGTATGTCTTCAGGGCACATGGCTCCAGCAAGTAAGTTTCATTTCATATAAATATAACCATGTATAAAATATAACAATAATGTTTTACAGTTAATTCAGTTGCGATGTCTGGAGCATCTCTACTACCTCAAGTTTTGGAAAAGATATTCTCTGCGTTGGTATATTCGCCACCTGGGCAAAGTAAAGATTCAAGATCAAGGGCTGTAAAAAATGTAAGAAGACATGCAGCGTCTTTAATGGTTAAGATCGGTGTCAAGTATCCTCTACTTCTTTTGCCAGTATTCGATCAGATTCGTGTGACTGTAGACAATCTATCACATCACAATGGTCCTGCCCAACTGAGCATGCTGGAACGTGTTACCCTTCAGGAAGCTTTGCTCTTGATATCGAATCATTTTTGTGATTACGATCGGCAGAGTACTTTTGTCCGTGAAGTCATGCGGGAAGCAAACGTACAGTGGACATCTATTGCTAATTCTGGAGCGTTCAAAGGAGCCGTTGAATTCATGAATTTCGTCGGATTAAATAAGACACCGGTCTCAGGAGACGATCCATGTGGAATTAATCGCAGTAATTTGGTTTATTGCGTTAATTTGTTACTGGGAACAGTTAAAAGGTGCAACTGGCCAGAAGACCCTGAACGTGCAACCAGAGGCGGATTTGTGGTTGCTTTGACTGAAGCTGGTAATCCAGTATGTAGAAATCCAGCTGCGCCACACATCGTGCCCCTTTTACCTCACATATTATCTTTAATTAGAATTTTTAATGAAATTTTTACACCCGAAGCTCAAGCGATTTTGCATGATGGTTTCAAGGGTTGTTTGAATATGCAGGAACTTGAAAAGGCCAATTTGTTGGGACTTGTTGGGCACGTATCCGAAGTAAACGATACGCAAACGAATATAAGTACATTGGAACGTATGCAGAGATTCTTGTGTGGTCTTCACGAAAGTTGCTATCATTTAATGGGCTCAGTAGGTTCCAGTTTAGGCAGAGATTTGTACAGTTTGCCTGATTTGGGTCCTGCAATTGTAACCAGCGTCCTGGCATGCCTACAGGTAAAGATTTCTATTTCCAATTATGTCTATGTTTGTTCATCTATTATCATATTTTTAGTACATTCCTGATTACCGTTTGAGACCCATCATTAGAGTGTTTCTCAAGGCTTTTATCTACTCATGTCCTCAACCATTTTACGAGGTTGTCCTCTTGCCAATAATGGCATATTTGGCTCCATTAAGTGAGTATATTATTTTATTGGTCATTCATATTGTTTATTTATTATGTGCGATTTTCAGTGGTATCTCGATTAAATACGAAATGGCAACAAGTTAGTGAATTGAGAGGAAAAGAAGCTCAAGATGACAATGCTGATGCACAAGAAGTGTTGGAAGATATATTAACGAGGGCTCTGACTAGAGAGTACATAGATCTTCTGAAAGTGGCTTTAGTTGGTGGCAGCTTAACACCCGAAAATAACCAGGACACTATGGAAACTGAAGATTTAAGCATGGACGCTCCAACACCTACTCGTACCAATTTATCTAGCGAAGTAATTTCTGATCTTGGGACTTTACTACTGAGATCAGAGAAGACGTGTCAATCATTGGTTCTGACCGTTCTTGGTACTCTTTCTTGGATCGACAGTAATGCCTCTCTAAAAGCCACTTTCCTCACCGGACCTATAATAAGACTGTTAGTCGCTGACAATACACTAAACGGGGAAATGGCAGCTCACATAATGGCGGCAGTGCTAAATGGACTTACTCTTCATGGACAACACGACGTAAACCAGGGTTCCTTGTTGACTCTGGGTGCACAAATATACGAATTGCTCAGACCCACATTCCCAGAAGTATATGCTGTAATGCAACAAATTCCAGGGATCAATCCCGTCGATTTGCAAAAACTTGATGAACGCATTTCAGGACAGACCAGCAAGGGGAATAAGGTTGAAAAAGTTAAGAAGGATTTGTTTAAAAAGATTACATCTACGGTAAGTGACAATTGTACAATTAGAGATGTTCATAAATTGGTTTGTTTATTATTTTTGTTTTGTTTTAGTTGATTGGACGCAGCGTCGGACAATTATTCAAGAAAGAAGTAAAAATTCAAGATCTTCCCAGGCTAGCAATTCCAGAGAGATCGGTGCGAAAAGAGGTTATTCCTGATTTGAGAAATATTTTTAGCGCATGATTTATCTGTTTCTAGCATTTAGAAATCTAAGTAATTTATTTTCAATTCTATTCTGCTACAATTATTGTACAATAATGGTGTTGTACAATGACTGGTTTTAAACCTATTCTATGTAAATAATTTGTTACTCATATATTATTTGTTTATTATGAAAAAAAAAATGAATGGTAACTATTAATAATAATAAAAAAAAAAGATATAATATGAATATGAATGTTGTGTTTATATTTTCTAATTTAAAATCTGTATAAATTATATAATAAATAATGTTTATCGAGTAAAACGTTCCTAAAATTAAGACAATTTCTTCGTGATTAAATACTTTAAATAAACTTTAAATTCTGTGCCATTGTCTATCTAATATTTTTTTTCGATGAAATTTACTTTTATTTTTCTGTTATGAATTTACGTGAATGTTTATTGATTGGAAAAGAAAATACATTTATTTACATTATTATTTACTACTTATATTATTATTATTTACCATTTTCACACGAGTTTCTATTTCAGTTCGTTAAAGTTTCATATATTTTCATACATTCAACAGTAAAAATACTTCAAACATTTTATTTATTTATATGTATGTTAACAATATCATTATTTTTTATGTAATAGTCCTATTATTATTTATTACTGTAAAATGGTGTAAATGTGGAAAATTATTTAATAATAAAAAAAAATATGTAACCAGTGCATAATTGTAATAATTTAAATATAATAAATAATATAAAAGTACATCTATTTAATAATAAAAGAGGATGAGGTTTTTTTTTATAATAATTGTATTGGAATGTTATTAGTAAATGGATATGTTAAAATATTGGTTGATAAAAACAATAGATTTCAGAAATTAAATTGATTTATTATCCAATCCAAAAATAATGTACCTTAAACATGTCCACGTTAACAAATTTAGTCGAAGTCTGCGTATCAATGAGAAGTTTCATTTGTATTTTATTAAATAGATGGAATGACGAGACACGTTTTTAACTTCTATATGAAACTTTCAAGAACGCAGTCGAGGTTCGAAATACAGGTTTACAAAAATATATATGATTTTCATCTCAAATAAATAAATAAATAATGAAATAAATAATAATATCAATCCATATAGCTAATTTTAAGATTTTTTTTTTGATTATTATTTCTTTTTTTTTGTGCATTTTATGTAATTTTGAGTATATATGCGTTATATATGTAATTAATCCGTAAATAATTGAAGTTTTAATAATTAAATGTATGATGGTTTTAACCAGTCAGGCCGCATGTTGTTGAATCCATTGCCATTTAATAGACGGCAGCTGAAATGATAAAAATCAGACAAATTAGCTTGTGTTTAATTGTTTGTACTTGTATGCAATGTTTTCTAATACTTTTGATAAAATTCTATATATTAAATTGTATTTGGTCTGAACTTGTACAAGATCATATTCACTATGTTAGTACAGCAAAGGCCCATTGAGTAAAAAGTACGACAAAAACGTAAAAACGACAGCTATTCTAAAAAAACGGAAAAAAATATAATTTTGGGTCACTTACCTGTAACCAAGCTGTAATTAGTATTGCGCTGCGAGCTCTAGGAATTTGTGTTCATTAAGTAATCATTTGCTAAAGCAAATTTTGAATTTTGTGTGTTCCAGAAGAAGAAGCAAATAATTTCAAAATTATCCGATCATTGTAGATGTACCAAAAAAAGGCTGTCCTTTTAAAAATCGGCAATGGGTATAGAATATGAATATTCTACGATTCAAGCAGTTCCATATGTTCTTTTATCTTTTTGAATTGAATTTCGTGTTGATGTTTGTGTGTGTGTGGTGTTGATACTTACAGAATGGTCTGATGGGGTGCTTGTCCCAGAGGTAAGTCCTCTTGACTGGGGAGAGATAAGAGTCCCTCAGCCAGAAAGGTGACCTGCCCCAGCTGCTGTAAGGGCGGTATGGACGTAGAGACGGCCAGAAATGCCACCAAGGATCGCGAGCGATAGAAGACATGGGAAGGTAGGGAGAAGGGTTGATAAGATCGTCAAATATGCTCTTACTTGGGCGGAAACCACCAAGGGAGAAGATTGGTTGTCCGGCATAGTTGTATCCAACTTCAGATGGACGAGGTCCCCATTCACCAGCCTAAAATAATAACATATTAGTAACGACGATAAGGTAAGGGCGCGGTCTCAATTGCAACATGTACCTTGATTGGAGTAGGCGAAAGAGATCTTGGCCAGTAGTGGTTGAGTCTGTCGATCAAGTTCAGACGGTCCAAAGAGTTGAGCCAGTCCTGGTGAGGGTTGTACTCTGGTTTCGGAAGCTGAGGTCTCTTGCTATAAACCAAATAGAGTGGATAACGGCTGAATGGATAGGTGGTGTGGTAGTGGCTTGGTTCTCTCTTCAAGACGCGATCGATGTGATCCCTCCAAGCTTGATCGGCGTCGAATGGTTTGCTCTTGGAAACGTGGAACACTATACACAACAACAATAAAAACTCATCTGTAAAATCCCATCTGTCAAAGCCCAATAGAAAAATATAAACGAAACATCCACAATCGTAGTTCAAATGTGGTAAAACATCGAATACTCGGAAGTACAGCGACTTTAAACTTCACGACATGCAAATCTTAAAGACCAGATCGAATGTATTACAATAATTGAATGCGTTCACGTATAATTTACACATAGAATATAAGAGAAAAAAAAACAACTAATTTTCGCTTCTTTACCGAAAGTAGTTAAAATTCTGCATTAACAATTATCAAAGAATAAAAAGAAATGCAATAAGATGTTAAAAGTGTGTTTATAAGCTTCAAAAAAAAATATAATAATTAAGGAAGAGTACATTTGCATAAGCACAAATCCGTTAAAATATATCAAAAAACAAAAAAAAATACCACCTTACCTGGTAATAATCTTTTAAAAAAAAAGATTGTTAAAAAAAATGTCACCGCTAAAAAAACATAATATTTCCCATTCGAAAAAATAAAATAATAATATTTAATTAATGGGAAACTTTGGGGGTTTGTGTTTGTAGGTGAAGCAATAAAAAAATATAGATCAATCGCCCTAGCAAATGCTGGAGTTATTAGAACAAGCCTTTAATTAATAATACTAGTCTGCTCAAGCATGTATATCCATAAGTTAGTGATAAATATTTTTTTTAGGGGTAACAAGATTTTGTTACAATAGCTCAAGCTTTTGCAGGGGCAACACTCATCTAAGTAGTTCCCGTTCGAGTTTGTTTGTTTTTTTCTTTACTTGTTTTTTTTCTGTTTATTTATTTAACACTCATATAATAAATATATGAATTATTTACACTTGAATCTACTGTGCTGTTTGTTACATTACATTTGTTACAGAGTTCATTGAGCGTAACTAATTATAATAGGTTATTAAATAAAAAAAAAGAAAAGAAAATATTGATAAAGGCGCATTTGATTCGATTCGGTGGTGGTGGTACATATTATACACACGCGATGGTGTTAATTTAGTCGATTTCCACTTTATATTTAAAACATTTCTGAATAGCGGCCAAAAACATGAATGTGTGACTTCCCAAATTTTTGGCACAGATCTTTCTTTTCGTATTCTCTGTATTTTTTTTTTGTTGTTGTTGTTGTTCTCACATAAAGTAGAAACAAATGTATGAGTTGTAAGCTTGATTTTGGTACGTTATAGTAGCTTAAGAAGAATTAAAATTAAAAAGGCGAGACACGTATTTGCCCTTCGTTGTTTTCACGCCCGGCGTGGTTTAATGTCTGGCAGACTTACCGGGTCTGTACCTATCGAGGGAACCGTAGTTATGAGGATAGATATCACGTGGAGTGTATCCATAGGTGTTACGATGAAGAGGATCGTATCTGTATCCAGGTACATTGATGCGTTCGGCGGCGTGGATTGGGTCGTCGTAGATGGATTTGCCGTACGGCCACGTGGATCCAAACTCTGGGTAGTCAGAGATTGGCCTGTAGATGCCCTTTGGGCTCCTAGAGTAGCTATCGTTAGCTCTGATATCATCAGATCCTACAAGAAACAAACAAATTCACATTTCACGTTAGCTTCGATTCGAAACATCTCATCATCATCATCATCAGTATAATACCTTTAAGGGACCTTACGAAGGATTGCCAGAACTTGGCTTTCTTCGAGGCCGTTTCATTTCGACCAATCATCTCGAGGTGATTCTTAAACATTTTGGCTTTTTTCTATGTCTCGTTCGTGCTGCAAGAAAAGCAAAGAGAAGAATTAATAAAAAAAACAAGAGCTAAATCTGAAAACGAAAGATTAATTTGTTTGTTTTCTTTTGATGATGATGCGTGTATTCAGTATATTCCCACTAAGAGTGTACGCCTACGCAAGGCGTCTTGGTTGATGTAAGGCACCGGAGCGATCTAGTTTTGGACGTCGAGGCCACCAAATTCTAAATTTAGTGTAGTTACAAAATTCCTGCTCCGTTTCAATTTCTTTTTTCTTTCTTATTCTATCCACAAATTTATTTTTTCGCGAAAAAGAAATCCACCATATCCGACGGACGGAACGAATACGCGAAATGGAGAAGACCCCCCCGGTCGTGCACACCGACTGCGATTTACGTAACCGTTTATTTACGGTGGGATGTGTTGGCTCCCTCAGAATGACCTTAGCCAATATATTTTTTTTTATGTAACAACTTAGCTTAAATATCTCACCGCGAAACTATGCAGTGATCAAATATTTATATTTGTATTTCGGTGGAGCGGAAGAGTTTACGTTCGTTACAATTTATTTATAACATTCAGTTGGCAAAATGACGAAACGTTTGCACGTGCGATAGTAAACATTCATTTTGGTAATAAACGCAATAAACTTTATATTTCGGATCTGGCAGCAAACTCGGAATTTTAATTGTCTTTACATATTTCAGTTTTGTATTTTTAGATTACCGCCTATGCATTATTATCTGAATAGCTTTTCAATTATACATTCAAAAATAGACAAAAAATAACGTTAATACTGCTATGAATCAGACATGTAATTGAAAACGGCTACATTTAAAAATTTGATACAATGTTAATTATCTTTAAATTAAATTAAATAAAATCAAAATATAAAAGCTTTTGATTATTCGATGCGATGGTAAGAAGAAATTGTTGTTGCGTAATTTGTTTGAATTGAAATTGAATAATCCCATTGCTTAAAACCGAAAGTATACAAAGTACTTGGACGTTGTGACGTCGTTGGTTCGCGGTCTTAGTCCGGGCTTAACAAATAGGGCAAGCGTCCGAAAATAGTCTCGTCCTATTATAGATCCGTCCGAGAATCGGACAAACACTGGACCTCATTGCTTGCCTTACAACACCATAAGTGAGGACAAATCCGTATCTAAATATAAACGTGTTCCACGAAAAGGAAAGCCGATGATTAAAATCGAAGTAAATTTCAAAATAGCCCAGCAACAGATTACATTTGTCGAGCAACAAGTTGTATTCGCGAAACGAGAGTCTTTACTTTTTCCTATTTCCTTCTGTAATCTGATACATCTTTGAACTAATTTCAATTTGGATTCATTATAATTTTGTTGTAATATTTAATGCATGAATATGATGATACGTTTGCGTGAGATATTTGGATTCGCGAAAAAGCTTTCTCTGCGTATAATTGTTGCGTAATGGTCGGAACCTTTCAAACAGTTTCTACTTACGGCTTCAGCCAATGAGGGGTTTTAGTAAATGTCGATGATAAACTGTGTTGTTCACTGTTGTTATATGTATTTTATTTAAGCCAGAAGCGAAATATATTTTTGAGAAAAATGTTGAAGATTGCGTTTGCTGCTGAAGTACTAACCTAAGTGTTTAGTTTGCGAGTCGTGAGCGGCGACTGGTGAGTTCGGTACTAACTGTTTTAGCGTCGGGACGTCGTCCAAGAGGCGTTGGGTGCGTCGGGGGGCTCAGCGTCACGCGGAGGCGGTAGCTCTTTGTTTATAACACCATTCATGGGGTACGAAACACGAAGGCGCATAATTATTACATTTCTTATGTTGCTTGTTTCTTTTCTTTTCTTTCTTTCTTTCTTCTTTTGCGCTCATTCGATCCATACGGGATTTTCGCGCGATCTTGTGCTGTTGTTGTTCCCATCTCTCCGACCAGGCAGGTCGAATCGGTCTTGTTTCCAGCTGATGATCGAAAATAGAACAAACAATTAGTGTGATAACAGGTCCGGTGATACACACAACAGTTTAAAATTACACACTTGAGCCATTTCGAAATTATTTAACCCTGACGCCGTCTCACTCCATCCTCCTTATTTATTTATCCAATTTCCCTTACATTTCCAACGCGTATCATTTTAACGAGTTTCATCATAACGTTCGCCTTTAAAATAGACCGATTTTTCATTTCTATTCTTGATCTATTATGAAAACTACGCCGAAACGTAAATATTTTTCGGACCTTGAAAACTTGAATGAACGTTCGAAAAATCTCTATATTTTTTTTTGTTTGTAATTTGATGGAAAACTGCGTAGTTCTTCTGATTTCATTTAATTATTTCATGTTGATTGCTATGTTTGAAAAGACTTTACGATTCTCCAGCCATTAGCTGACTTTTAACTACCGACCACCAAGATTTGATTACATAGCCGTTGAAATATACATTAGGTATGTTCTTTTTTCAATAAAATTTAATCAATTATATCACACATCAATTATATTACAAATTAAGTATTTTAGATTATATTATATAGATTTATAATTATTTTGTAAAAATTAATAAAAATTGTTAAATTACATAAATAGATACAAAATATAAATTGGTGTATTTATTAAATTTTAGCATTTTTGCAAAAATAATAGTAAAAGTCCATAAATGAATACATTTTTAACAGAGAATTATGATAATAATCTAAAACGATAAGTGCAGAATTATATAATATTAAATTCTAGCCTTTTTGCAGAATCCTAAATCATAACTGAGGCCATGGCTTGAATAACTGCGAGGCCATGGCAACAAATAAACACGAGCGAGCTTCACCTCTATTGCTAGGATGTCTGAGAGAGTCCAGTTATGATGGTCATTTAATACGTCTAAAATAAACTTAAGCCTAGATCTGTGGCCAAGGCAGATTTTACCTATTCTATAACACCTGTTAAGTGGGTTTTCGCATTTACAAAAGATACAAACATTTTTGTTACAATCATATGATTATATACGATTCATATGAAATATAAAATTTGGGATTTCTGTAATTCAGTTATAATAAAATTTCTTGTTACAAAAGTACAATAATCTAAATAACGTCTATTCAAATGTGATTTACAACATTTTGTTTTAGCAGTTTTACATATTGAATTTGTAATATTTAAAATGCAAATTTGTAGTATATCCTTTTTTTTTATTAAAGAATTATTAATCTAGAATAGGACTAGAAATTGTGGGTTGAATAACAATATTGGCTTAAGTATTTTATTTGTAGTTTAAAAAGTTTTAAATAAACGTGAATTTCTTCATCATCTGAAAACAGTAATTATTCATTTATCGTCCTGTCAGAATGGAAAAGCGTCATTGCAAAATATATTTAAAGTCGATGCAGCAATCATTACGTAGAGGAGATGTGGCCTTTCCCATTTAAAATAAATATGCTTATATTTATACTCTGCTCGAGATAAAAGTGAAAATCCATGGACGACTTCATCAAATTAATTGCGTTCATTTTCGCTATCTGCTAAACACCATTCCTCAAGTACAAAGTAAAAATATCAAGTTATTTACGTGCATGTACATTTTTGATACTGGTCTCAATAAAAATAACTCTTTTTTCATCAATTCGGGTTTTTTTGGTCAGTTAAACAAAGGCTGAACGTGTAATTTTAGCGATCCTATTTATACTAGAATTTGTTTTTCAATTGGTCTCTGTATGCGTGCGTGTGTGTGTGTGTGCACACGAGTGATCCATGGATTTCGGTTTTCTCTCTTTCCACGTCCTGCGTGGGAAATGAAAATAATTCCACTTTTGAGCAAAACCTGAGCGATCGTTTCGCTTTTCGCTTGCACGGGTTTTTTCGTCGTCATCGAAAAGTATTCCCGATAAATTTAGATTTTATATTTAGTGTATGACGGGGAGTGGAGATTATATGCATTTTCGTATCATAAAGTACACGCGTTGCGAAAAACAAAGCCAAATTCCATACGAAATACATGGAACATTTACTTTCTACATGTTACTTTTCCTTTTATTTTAAATGTGCTGAGTGAAGATTTATTTTTAAATCTTAAGTAAGTATATATATCTTATAAACTTGTATTTGAATTTGATTACATAAATTCTCAATTACAATTCAATTATAGCATTATTATATCAACTTTTACCATAATTTCTATATGTTATTCTGCATTACATCATCATGATATACACCATGTTTTATATACTTACCTGCACATTTTAATGTTTTGTAATTATTAATTCTTAATTTTTTTGTATAATTTGTATGTTGCTTATTATATTCTAATTCTAGGCCCAAACGTGGACAACAAATTTATTTAAGTAAACAAATTTAATAGCAAGTAAACTTGTAGACACAAAATCTAGAATGTCTTACCAAATTTCAAATTTTTTTAAATATCTATTTTTTTTACATAGTTACAAAATCATTTTGAAAATATAAACTAATAAACTTGTTTCCAGAGCAATTAAAATTATTCAAGTGCACCAGTAATTAACTACTTTGTAATTAAGATTGAATTCTAATACAATGTTTATTGCAACAATTATACAATTACTTAAATTATTATAGAAGAAAATTGTCCACCAATTATAACAAAATGTAATTATGATAAAATTATAATCATTTTGTTAGAAATTGAAATATTTAATAGAAATTTAGTTTATAGAAATATTTATTACATAATAGCAGTTATTTTATATACAAATAAAATATGCTAAATTCTAGTTTGTTTTTAAATTTGAATATTTTAGAATAATAAAAACAATTTAAAAAATATACAATTAACACATTACCACATTACTTTAGATTTGTGTAATTAATAGAGATGATAAGTAAAGAATAATGATAGGAGCATAAAATGTAAATATAAATTTATGTAGTTTTTTTTCATAACTTTCACTAACTAACTTCTTTGTTAAAAAAGTGTATAAATGAGTTCGTATTTCGTGATGACAACTAAAGAAGGTAGGTGTACAAAAGGTAAACATAAATTAGATATTTGACCTGTCGGTTGCAATTAATAGATCCACGTGACCTGCGGCCGTAGCATATTTGTCGACGAAGTTAGATAAACAGTGACGGCGCTAAAAGGGACGCAAACACATTGCACACGTCCTAGCTCAAACATTGGATGAGTGTGTGTGTGTGTGTAGTATACAAGCAGCTCAGTAGTCGTAGGTGGTGAGATACGTTCATATTCCTTTCTCACATCATCACTAACCACAACCACCACCACCTACTCTTGTTTTCTCTATTATTTACTTTACTTTTCTGTTCATTAAAGATCTGCGGACGTCCGAAAGGCAAATATATATGTATATATGGGTCATCATGAGAGTATTTAAAAATTCGGGTCATCAAAGTTATTTTCAATTTTATGCGCGTCGGGTCGCAACTTCGGTTACTGGTTACTTTTAAAAATAAACCTCGATTTTTGAAATTTATTATATCTAAAGGACGCACCGAACACAACAATTCTATTTATTGTTTGCTGTTCGTATCATATCATATATTGATACCATAATTTGTTATTGGAAAATCTCATTCATAGCAAATAATATGATACATTATATACATTCACGTCTTTCCCTCATATATAATAATAACATTTATACTATTAGTTAAATATTTGTAGACAAAAAACTATAAAGTTTTATAATAAATAAATTAATTTCATAATTTTCAAAATTGACTTTTTAAGAAAAAAAACAATAAATATTTCATTGACAAATAGTTTAAAATTACTAAAATATATAAATTGAAGGAAGGTTATAATTATATAAATACATTTTCAATTCCTTGGAATTGTTTTGAACCAATTTGTATACATTTTAAGATTTTCTTTATTGTCCCGAAAAAACAAATTATATTTGTTGATTTAATAAAATCAAAATTTGTATATTTATAAAAGAAAATAGTTAATTATTGATAATATATTGATCTTAGTGTATCATATTTTAATAAATGTGTTGTTACCAAATCCTAAAATTGCAACTGAAGCGATTTGAAGTTTCATTGATGATTCTAATTTAAACATATGTTACAGTACGAAAATAGCAACAAAAACAAACTAAATCTTTTGTAATTGTTATTAATAGTATTTACGTTTACTGTATTTTGTAACTAATTGTAAATATGTATTAGAAATTTGTTCATAAATGTTGTTTATAAGAAATGCAATATAAAAGTTATAATTGATAAAACGATTAAGGATAATATATTGGTATATGTGTGTATGCTCAGATACTAATCGAATTACTTTTGTTATGGTAAAAGTATTTTAAGTGTAAAAGTTTTTTAACGAAAGAGCGTAGTTTTGTGTATGCATCAAGAAAGTTTTAAAAGACATGAAAGTAGAGCACCTCCGCTCCACGGGGCATATATCAATCGCTCAATGATTTACAATAAATATTCTCCGTTTTTTTTCACTTCTTTTCCTTTCTTTTCCCCTCCAGACAAGAACTCTGGATACATGCATGCATCTGAGCGAGAGGGTGGATCAGTGGAGGCGAACACTTTTTGCGGATAGTCGGGAAAACTCCGGTTCCGACTCCGGAACCAGACTTCTGGTATTATTCGATGTTTACTGCTTGGTTCCGGTTTCAGGGCACTCGTGCATACAAAGGATACGTTGACATCGATCACAATGCTCCTCAGTCTCGGATCGTAGATTCTAAATATATTTCCACAATAAAAGAGATTA